GGGGGGCGGCGGGCGAGCCGGAGGCCGAGGCCCGGAAGCGACCCGGGGAGCCGAGGCCGCCGTGGGGATGCGCGCAGCCCGTGGACGCGCTCTCGGAGCCTGCGTGCATCCCGCGAGTCCGGGGTGTGGGCAAGTGAAAAAGGGCCGAGGGGGGCGCCGGGTCCCCCGAAGTGCAGACCCGGACTTGCGTGGGGTTCTTAAAGGCTGCCTTTCCACCTCCAAGAGCCCGGGAGTGAGTCGCGCTCCCGCAGAGCCCTGCGCGAGGACCAGGAAGGGCCCAGGAGAACCAGAATTAGTTGGGGTCTTGGAAGTTTGTGGGCTCAGGGCAGGCACCAGACCTTCCGAGCGACATAGGGGGATGCATGGGGTGTAATGCTTTCCAAAATTACTTTAGCTTCTGAGAGTTGAAGGAAACCGGATCAGTTAGGCCCCAAGCCCGGATTTGTTAGCGCGTGGACGCCTGTTAGCGTGACAGTCGACGTCTCGTTAGGATAGGGTGTGGTGAAGCCTGAGGCTTCCAAAGTTTGGGGAAGGTGTCAAGAGGAACTGCCCAGCGGGCCTTGGAGGCCTGCACGGGAGGAGGAGTGGTCACTTTGAAGGCCTCGGAGCTGGGGGGTTATTGGAAAAGTTTTGTGAACCAGCTTCTGAGGCTGTAGTATTTGCCTTAACCATATGCTCTGAGCTGGTTTCCCCCTTTCTTTGAATGGTGGGTCTTATCTGCTGCCAAAAAGCTATTAGTCAGCGAGGGTTTTATGATTTTATAATGTGGATTTATTATAGCAGTGTGTGTTTTTGATAAAGCTTACTCAAACGCCAAGAAAGCACTTTCTGCATAGGCAGAGGCGTCGTCTGTAAAAACCTTTATCTAGAACAAGCATGACTGTGTTGCAAGAAGGCCCTTTTCTAGTGTGGAGATGTGGTTTAGACAAAATCATCCAGTACTCAGAAATAATCTGTTTTGATTTGCCTATGCCTAACTTTTATAATTACACGTAGCTAGTCACTTATCTGCATTTATTACTGCTGTTTGTTTCTTGTAAAAGTGCTGTACCAGATACTCAAGTGAAGAAGTGAATAATATACAATAATATACAAATGTGGTTTTTTAGATGAAGTAAATGAAATTCAAAGTCAATGCCTTTTCTGGGCCCCAGGAACTTAAGAGTTTTCCAAGGTAATCATTATTTTAAGTATCCTTGAGGTGGAGGTGCAGGCTTAGGAGTAATGCGAGATGTAATGACTATAAAGGGAAACAGACAATCCAATATAGAATCTTCTTTTATTGCCATAGGAACATAGTCTTTGCTCTTTATACAGGTCTATACCAGTTCTGTGAGTTCCCTCTGCTAGTGATGAAGATTCCTTGTTTATAAACACCATTTTCCATAAAGTTATGTATTCCAATTCTAAGGGTTTCCCCAGATGGCTGGAGACTGCTTCCTGGAGGAGTCACTGGAAAAGAGCCTTTCCCTTTGGGAATTCTAGCTGCACGTTTCTATGGTGACCAGTGTCAGGGTGAGCAGGCACTCTGTCTACTGTTCTTGTTTAGTAGGGACACTCACCTTGTTTCCTCACCTGTGATCCTAGGAAAAGTTGGCCCTAGATACAGTCTTGCTATTTTGTTTCCCTTTAAGACTCGCTTTCAGAGAAAGTGCTTAGAACCATCAGGTGCTTTGTTGGGTCGCTGGTCTTCCATAGAGGGAGCAGCAGCTACACCAAAGCACAGTGAAAGCCTATCCCAGGGCCTGGAAAGAAGACTCAGCCGTTCAGAACTATGCCAGACAATCAGGTGCCTTCCAGAGTTTGATTCCCAGCTCACAACCATCTGCAACTCCAGTTCCAGGGAATCGGAGGCCCTCTTCTGACTCCATGGGCATCCACCATGCACATGATGCACAGACATGCATGCCATCAACCCACACACACACGATAAATTAGGAATTTTTGCGGGATATAGTGGCACACACATTAATCCCAGCACTCAAGACACAGAGACAAGCAGATCTCTGAATTCGAGGCCATCTTAGTCTCATAGTGAGTTACAGGACAACCATTGAAACCCTGTTTCAATAATACAAAAATAAAAATAAAAAAGCCTATCCAAAATAATTGAGAAGATGGTTTTTTCTGCATTTTCTCATTTAGTTTCTTGAAACAAACGATGTAGCAAATCATAGACTGGCACATGGTAGATGCCACCCTCCTTTTGCAGACAATAAACTAAATCTAGCAGGAGCTGGAAGTTTTACTCATTGGTGCTCTACCCAGTATTGAGCTCCTTTCTCCATGTTTGGAGTTCTTTGATGGTATATGATAAGACTATTTCCATTAAGCCACCTTCCAGGCGTTTTTTGTTTGCTTGAGACAGAAGCTTAACTGTGTAGCTAGCTGGACTGATACTTTATAGTCCAGCTGTCCTTAAACCCAACAGGAATTCTTCTTCCTTAGCCTCTCCAGTTCTGGGGTTACAAATGTGCATCCTTACATCAGCTGTAAGATTTAACTTCTACCCCAGTACCCAAGAAGCTGAGGCAGGAAGATCATTAACTTGAGGGCCAGTCTGGGCTATATAGTGAGTTCCAGGCCGGCCAAAACTGTGTATTGAGGCTGTCTATCAAAGTGGGGGACTGGGGAGGGTTTAACTTTTTGCAGGGGGCGGAATCCAAGGTACTCCTGTACTTGATTTAATGTGTTTGTAAGGGAGGGAAGCTTGAATTATTACTCTATGTCTTGAGATAGATATAGATAGATGTAAAGATATTTAAGAAAAGGTCTGTCTATGTAGCCCTGGTTGTTCTGGAATTTGCTATGTAGATAAGGGTAGCCTCCAGCTCAACCTCTGCCTCCCGACTATTGGGGTTAAGAGCTATGTTTTATGATTTAAGGAATCTCTCTCTCTCTCTCTCTTTCTTTCGTTTTCAAGACAGGGTTTCCCTGTAGTTTTGAATCCTGTTCTGGAACTAGCTCTATAGACCAAGATGGCCTCAAACTCAGAGATTTGCCTGCCTCTACCTCCTGAATGCTGGGATTAAAGGTGTGTGCCACCACCATCCGGCTGTTTTAAGGAATCTTAACCCTATCCTACTTAATAAAAAGCTTTCTCCCCCTGATAAAGTTTTGCCATGTATTCTGGGCTAGCTCAGAACTCAAAATCCTTCTGCTTTGGCCTCCCAACTGCTAGGATCACAGGTGGATGCAAACAGGCCAAGCCTGGTTGTGTTGTCTCAGGTCTATCAAAAATTGGATTTTACTTGCTTTTCCTTCTCATAAACCATAGTGCCTTTCTTTCCTTCCCATATTCTCCAGAGAACCACAGCCTCCTTTAATAGAGATTACTGAAAAACTATCTGACCATAAATAAAATATATCTCCTGCAGACTGGCTCCTGGATCTTCCTACCCCCACTGCCCAAGGGCTAGGATTACAAGCCTGAGTCGTCACACCCAGCACTATTATCTACTTTTTCAAGAACTACAGTGTGGATATTAGGCTATAGCTGAGATGGAGTGTTTGTCCTGGGCTTAATCTCCAGCACGGGCAAAAACAAACTCACTCCAGAAGCAGTTATTACCTATCAAACAAAAGTGGGGTGATCTATCTAGTGCCCAGTGTAGCATGTGACCAGTAAATAGTTGTGGGATGGTTGGAAAGGGCCTGCTCATCTACACAGATGCTCAGAGGAGCTTTCAGGGTTATAGAGATGTCTGATGTGAAATAGACACTTTGATTGAGTCAGAGTGAGAGGATTCTGTGTTACATTTCACCATGTTATAGATGCACACCTAGCATTTTGTACAGTCTCTATCCTCCCTCTCTCACGTACATACTCGTGACACCCACTGTCCTGCCTCCATGCTCTCTCACAGAGGTGCTAACTCTTCCAGGTTTATTCTTTTCTCTCATATTGTATTGCTCATTGAAACCTGGGAGAATGGTCTAAGCCGATCTGTTGTATCTGATTTTTGTCTGTTTTGTTTCTGAGACTGACAGGATCTCTCTTGCCCATGCCACCCTCCCTCTTCCTCCTGATTGTTGGGATTACAGACATGAGCAACTCCTGGATTTTTAAGCTAAATTTTAATATAAAGTTGTTTGAAACTTGATACCCATCTCCTGAGTACTTGTCCCTTGGGACCAAGCAGGAGCCGGTGGCTAGATACTGATATCACCAGATCTGTGTAGGCTAATTTATTTGGGATGTTATTGCGACAGGAGTTCAAGCTGCCGGAAGACAATTATTTTGTGAATCATGCAGGACAAGGATGAGCACTTTCCCTGCTGCTTAGTTCAGTCTTCTCTCTTGTCACTCAAAGGCAACTTCCCTATGGTGCCTGAAGAATTTTCCTGATAGCATTTTCTGTCACTGGGAACTGGATAATTTCACTTGCTGACCTGTTATGTCTTTGAGACATGGCCTTGCTATATAGCCCTGGCTTGCTTGGAACTTGATATGTAGAATGAAGAGGCTGGCCTCAAACTCCAGAGATCTCTTATCGTTGCTTTCTGAGTACTGGGGTTAAAAGCTGGGCACATTTCTTAGCCTGTTTTTCTCTTTCCTCTACTCCAGACAGGGTTTCACAATATAACTCTGGCTGTCCTGGAACACATCACTTTAGCCAGTATTAACACGCCTTCCAGAGGTCAGAGCCTTTGAGAATAGCCGTAGATGCTGATTAGGTTATAAGAATACAGCCCATTCCTCTGTGACCCAAGCTTATTCTGTTGAGCATTGTTGAATTGCAAATCACAGAATTAAATGACATTTGCAGATCAGCTGAGTTGATTGAGAAAATGGTCACATGGCCCTGCCCTGTCTTTATCTAAAACTCACTTCTCAGCCAGCTTGAGATGGTCAGAAGCCTGAGTCCCTCCTCACTCAGCCGAAAACTTTTTCTGCACAGTCCGCCTTGGTGTTTTGCAGACAACACAGTATTGTCATGACTGAGATCAGGTTCCTGAGTACCCTGGAGATAGCATATCTGTCACTGAAAAGAAACATGTTACTTAGTTTTTGCTAGTACCTCCTCTTGATTCAAAGTAATAAAGTCTTCTAAATAGGTAAAGAGGTTAATGAAAGAGCAGAAATAACATCTATACCTTCCTTATAGAGTGGGAAGAGATCTGCCTATTTTAAATTTCTCTCCAGAGATATTTTTAGACAAATAAAATCTTAGTTATAAAGAATATACCAAGTTTTGACCATTTGTACTTGAATCTATTCCAATTTTAGCA